CAGTTCTTGTTCTGGACTTCCTCTGGAGCCGCAGAGGATCAACAGGGAAAAACTGAGATAGAAGCATGCAGGAGTGATCCGCCTTCCTCGGAGAACTGCGTGCACCGTTGGTTCTGTGCTGAAGTGACTTGTTAATCTCAGAACCAGAGCAGAAGAGTTCACAGTTCTAGTTATTTCGGCATATTTCTAGGATGACTAATTCAAAGAAATACTTAAAAATACAATTTCTCAGCACATCAGATGGCACATTTGACCTAGAAGAAATTGCACATTTTTTCTTCTGTTTTTGCCTGAAGAGAAATCTTAAGAAAAGGCAACCAGACTGTGTGACAGGTCCAAACTGTGGCTTCTCATGGTGCATAGTTGTGTGGGTTTAATGGGACATGACTAATCTGCACGCTGCAGATTCAGTTTTGTTCCAGGATCCTGATGCTTTCCCCTAGCAAAGCAGTCCAGTCCCACTGCATGGTGTGTCATTAAAGGATCGATGTGCATGTTACACCATGGCTGCTTAGGAGAGGCAGTTCTGCAGCTCAGATAAAGTGATTTTTAGGGTGAACCTAGGAGATCAGACCAGAATTTATCGATGCGTTTGCCCGTTCTTTGGGGGTATTCTTGTTTGGTCTAGAATGGAAAAGCCTCGTATCTGCACAGCCATGCGTCACAGCTGAAAAAGCACCTTCCTATCATGTGTTTTCTTTCCAGATTCCCAGCTGTGTAGGTTGCTGACTCAAGAGGAAGGAAGGAGCTCTCTTGGTATTGTTAAAACTGGCTGAATGTACAGCACCTACCACGCAGCGGATGCTGCCAGAAGCAAACAGTACATCCTAATAAAGATAGTGCTTTGGGTAGGTGAAATGAGGTCGATGCTCTTCACAAGAACTGCTGTGCAGTCGTGTTTCAAATGTGCTGGTAGAGCTGAATAAGCACCTGGGATCCATACATTGCTGCCGATAGTAACACTAGCTGCTGCGTAAGGCCTTTGAACTATGACTTTATGAAGGAGGTCAGTAGCACTGCCCCTGTTTCACAGCTGGAGAAATCAAAGGGTGAAATGACTTGTACAGATGCCACAACAGGCTTAGTTTGGATGGGGACCGGTCTCTTGACAGCCATGGAGGTAGCTGAGGTCTCGTTCTTTGTCTGGGAAAGGTGACTCGGAGTCAATGCAGAGAGCAAACCTGAGAGAAGCTCCTGAAATGGACAGTCAAGATCGTGGCGTTATAAATAATGGAATGATTAAATTCAAGCTGCTGCTTTTGGCAGCTACTGTTTCCCAGCGTGGCAAGTTCCTTTCCTGACCAAAGCTAACCAGAGAAGGAAGGAAAGCAACCAGGGCCAAGGATCCGATGAACCGCTCCGAGTGGAGGCGTTTGGGCCAGCGGAGGTGAGCTTGCATGGGGGGTACAGGTGTCCAGGTAGCGGCCTTTGCCATCTCCGAATGTGCCAGGGAGGTGCCCCCGGGCCCTGCGCCAGCCTGGGCTGAGGGTGCGTGGCCAGGAGCGCCGGCTGCAGCACAACCAGCCCCTGCTGCTGG